TTAAAGTAATCATTTTTCATTTAATATTTATATTGTATTTTATTAATTTGTTTTAGTAATGTTGTTATGTGCTTTTTTCATTCTTATCCTTTTTTTTAATATATAACATATGTTACTTATTTTATAATTCATAATTTCAGTTTTAGCAATTTTAGCAATTCAGGTTTTTTTCATCTAATATTTATTTTGTATTTTATTTCAGCTTTATTTCAGTTAACAAAAATAATTTTAATAGTTTTAGTTAAAGGGCACCTATTATGCCCCTTTTTACAAGATGTAATATTGGTCTTGGGTGTCCCCAGAATGTGTCTGTGTAGTTTCAGCCCAAAATACCCAACAGATCATGTATTATAACAGCTGGAAAATGTCATTTTTGGGGTGTGTCTAAAAAAAGTGCTGTTTTGGAGTGTATCGCTTTAAATGCAAATGAGCTGCATATTCCCGCCCCATCTCCAGAAAAGGGCATCACGTATACGTCTCTCTGCATTGCATATCTACAGCAATAAACAGCCGGTAGAAGCAACATAACGGAGAGCGAGAGAACAGGTGTTTAGCCATACATATGGGAAGTCAAATGCAATGAAAGTGGGACGAAACAGCGCGATCTTACAGAGCTCGCGGCGCGCTGACTAGGGTTGGGTATCTTTTTTTTTTTTCGATACTGGTGCCAAATCAATACTTTTAAAACGGATCCGGTGCCTAAATGGTGCCTGAACCGATACTTATTAAAAAATAAATAAATAAAAATTCCCCCCAAAAATTATGGATTGGCCATTAGAATAGAAATAGAATAGAGTGCAAATGTTAGAGGGTCAAGTTTTATAATTAAAAAAAAACAAGCAGATACAATTAAAAGTAGCATTAGAATAGAGAGTGCTAGAGTTAGAGGGTCAAATGAAGATGAAAGGGATGTGTTTTCAGCCGTTTCTTGAAAATATTAAGGACTCAGCTGCTTGGATTGAGCTGGGCAGGTCATTCCACCAGGAGGGAACAGTTAATGTAGAAGTCCATGAAAGTTTTATCATAGGTAGAATGCAAAATGTTTCAATACAAGCATTTCAGTCAAATGTAATTTATGCAATATTTCAAACCTTTAACCCACTTGGGAAAATCAACCCATGGCAACAGTTTAAAAGTAGCCCAATTCTGTGGAAAAAACGTGGACTTGGCAACCCTGCATCCAACAAGAGCTACCGGAGTCAGCTTTGACTGATCACAGGTTGAGAATAAGGAGAGATGACTGTCAAGACCATGCTGGAGTATTTGCTGCTCAACAGATTCTGAGTTCATTGACAAATATCTGATCTTGTAAGATGTGCTTGCTCCCTTTACACAGAGTGCTTGTGATCACGAAATCGAAAGTGAAAGTAAACAGCGCAAACGCTCATTCTAAAATATTTAAATACACCGCATCCTGAGAGCGTCCCCCTGATGCGCCAAAATTATATACAATATTAGAATGTTTAAAGGAGTGAACACGAAAATCGCAGGAGCGAAACACATATAATAAAACAGCCGAATCCCGGACATTTTGGGCAATTAAGAGATCCCAGCCGGACGCATTTTTGTAGGTCCAAAAAGAGGACATGTCAGGGGAAAAGAGGACGTATGGTCACCCTGACCTGTTATCGGCGCGAATCAATGGACTGAGCCGCGCGACCACGCTACCGAACGAATCGCACGCTACGAACGGTGCAAACTAATCTCACAAGTCAATTAAAAAATACTTAATGTACGCACACAAATACAGTTAAAATGCTAAGCACTATAATGACATGACATTCACAAAGGAGTCTGGAGTGATACACGTATTTAGATAGATTTTGAGGCGCATTAACTTGAAAAATGAAAGTAATCCACAGCGTCCTCATCAGCTCAGATGTTGGGAGAAAATTAAGACTTATGTTCAGTCTTACATCCAAACACAGAGCATCGGGATTGCTTGCGAGACATTGTTGACGTTACAGCTGCTCGAGTGCAGAGAAAATGGAGGACAGCGTACAACCGCGGAGGCTGGAAACTATATCAATGCAGAGCTGTCAATCAACCCTGTGGCCCGGTGTTCTGACGATTTGTGCTACCCTGTCAGATTTTGCTACCTCCCATTAAAACAGATGGTAGCATAATTCGATAGCGAAAAGTGCTACCTATCAGATTTTGCTTCCAGCATGATATTAATAAGGTGTGAGGCTTTATTAACATGTACACCTACCCCAACCCTAAATACAGTGTTGGTAGCATAACTGATTGGTAGCATTATTTGTCAGAACACCTGCCCTATGCAATGTGACGTCACACTACATGAGACTCAAAAAGGCAGGCCTTGTGAGACTGACTTGGTTTAAAAAATGAGGAGAGGGTGGATTTTTATCATTGTAGGGTGGTTACACTGCTAACACACATTTAAGTCCAAACACCATATAAAAGTGGATTTTGCATAATAGGTGCCCTTTAACGATAAAAATACTGGCCCAATGTTGTTTTGGACCCCATTTACTTTTATTGTTTCAACTATTTTTCAAGAAAACAGATTTGAAAACAACTTGCAGGTGAGTACATGATGACAGAATTGTAATCTTTGGATGAAATATTCCTTTAAACTGTCTGTATATGAGGTTTATTTTTAGGATCCAGTGTTGTGATGTCCATAACAGAGCCAAAGCTCTGGATGAGCCCATCTGTAATGAGTTTCCACCATCAAACTACCCTGTAGTGCCACCACTAACACCTCAGCAGAGCTTAGAATGATAGCAGTTGACATTGCCTCTCTTGAGGATCTATTTAGAGCACAACACATTCTTTACCAGGGTAAAACTGAATTTGGGACTTGGGAATATAATAGGAGGGAATGGGGAAAAAGCTATGTGTGTGGTGCGTGTGAATTTGAGAGAGGTCATGGCCTCAGTCGGCTGTACTCTCTCTTTTCATCTGATAATAAGCATCCCATTCGTTCTCTCCATCTGCTCTCTTCTTGTCCCACTGCCCTCCCACACGTCCAGTGTTTGCGTCCCCTGCTAGACACCTGCAACATCTGTCTGCGGTGCTGCCACATGGTTAAGTGTCTGTACTTGTAACACAAGGATTGCAGGTTAGGTCACACGGGTGGCTTTAACTGGGGTTACTCCGACAGTGCCCCATTAAAGAGACAGTGTCATTTGTGTGTCATTTACTCTGTGGCTGCACAATACTGGATAAAACTGTCGTTTCAGTCATTTTTGTTCTGCAATAAATAGTGCAATATAAAAAAACAGGAATTTCCAGCAGATGACTTGAATAACTATATTTTGAATCTAGAATGATTAGGGTGATTTTGTTGGGCAGTGCATCTGCATAGAAAAAAAAAATGTAATTACTTTTTACTTTGAAGACTTCTTTCCATGTTCTGAACCATCTTTTCTAAATGATAAATGATAAAAAAAAAAAACAGGTGTTCACACTTGGGCACATGCTTTACATAATGTTTTTTCAGTAACTATAAAGTGAACCATAAAATTAAAAATATCAGTTAGTAAAAAAATATATATATTTTTTTTTCATTCTTTTATTTTATTTTATTTTATGGTTTTAGTTCTAATTTCATTTGAAGTTTTAGTTCTGTATAGTACACTGTAAAATTACAATACTGATATTTATGTCTTAATTTATTTTTCTTTTTTTTGTAAACATTAAGCCATCAGGCTTTTTTGATGGAATGCCATCAAATAAATATATGCATGACATACTGTATATTTGTTTTCACTCGAAATGGGTAGGTATATATTTATTGAACTAAATCACAGCCTTTGCGATGTCTATCGCATTAAGTCATATTGCAGTAAACTACATTCCGATATGTCGTGCAGCCCTAATTTACTTGTTGTTCCAGTACTGCATGACATTCTGTCTTCTGCATATCACTAAAGAAGGTACAGTTGCTAGTTGAGTTGTCTCAGAACTCATCCTTCCCTTTTGTGCAACATAAAACTTTTGTTTTGTTTTGTTAGTTGGCATTCCTCTACCTCCAAGAGGTTGGGCCTCAGAAGTGTATGACTTGAATTCCCGGGTTTTGAGGGTATTGGTTGCGCTTCCTGCTGTCTGAAGACAGCTCTGCCAATGATGGAGGCTCCCTTTAGGCTGGCCCCCTGGTACACCCCTCCTTGGAGTCCTGAAATTTGGCTCACACAACATCCTGCAGTGTCGTGCCACCCTTAGCACTCGAAGTCATTGTCGTAACAGCATGGCGTTGCGGCCCCCTGTCCTCAAATGACATCCAGAACCCCCTCTGATCAGCTTCCTGCTGCGTCTCCATGAGCCCACAGTCGCATGGAATATCAGCATGGCTCTTTGGGCTTGCCATTAAAACAAACATCCCCAGACGCATCTCATGAGTGGAGGCCCGCGCCTCGCTTTTGCGTCCCATTGGTTCCAGCTCATTCATCAAACATGATTTCACAACTATATAATTTCCGTGGCTTTGGAAAACAGAAGCAGCTGCTGTCTAGTTCTTGTTTGTCAATGGTGCTGTATGATTATGACTATTGATGTGGTTTTCTGTGTGAAAAATTGTAAATATTGACCGGCATCATTAGCAGTCAGCAGATAAATGTGTATATAATTATAAGTATGTGAAGCATGAAAGAGTGTATGCTGTCATCTTTTGATGGATAGATGGATTGACCGCAGGCAGCTAATCTGCTGGCATTCATTACACATCTCTTACAGATGAACCAAATTTATTATAAATATGTTTTTATCAACTCTTGTGATGATTGATATAATTACGAGACAAGATGGAGTAGACATGCAGTTTAAATAGTGTTTCATTACTGAAGGAAAAAAAAAGAAAATTAACTGACTATGAACACATACAGCTTTAAAAAAAAAAAAAGGACAAATTTACATGACTAAACTCTTCTAAAAGTGTTTAAATAACTTAAAATATAAAATATTGACAGGAAATGTAATTATGAGTATTTTAACCGTGATTATTGATTCTTAAAGATGTCTTTTAAACTTCCAAGGTAACAGCGATAATGAGAGAATTCAAATGGCCAATAAGAAAATTCCTTTCAAATATGCCCGTCCCGTAGAGGAATGGCTTCAGGAGAAAGGTAACTTCCTCCTTTTTAATTTATTTTTTTATTTTTTATTTTAATATATATAGATTTTACCATTTTTCTTTAGTTAAATTGACTTATTTATAACATATAGATAAATAATTATATTGTATATTGTGTTGCACCCATCACATATTTGCTTTTCTTTTGCCTTTTCAATGCTCGTTGATCTTTGTATGATCTTAAAGACAGACTAAATAATACATACATTGTTTAATGGTTCAATATTGGCCTAGTAAACATTTTATGAATGTTTTAAATGTAAACATTAAAACAAATTAACATAAACATAAATTTCACTTGACTTTCTGGCTGATATAATGGAAGGTGGACAGACAAGGTTTAGTGAAATACAAGAGCTGTTGCAGGCAGCAGCTTGTGGCTGCACAGGAAGTATCATCCGAGAAGAAAACACCAGCATGATTATTGTTTCAGACATTAATTGCATATCATCAGGAGCCCCACCACCACCACGAGAAAACACCGCACTCCACCCACAATACAGGTATGACCCCAGACACACAAGCATGAATTCAAATGAAGACATCAGTGGGAACTGCTGAGACTAGTAATATAAGTTAGTCATCTGAAGGCCGTTCAAGAACTTCAAGAACGCTAACTATAAAGTTAACTATAAAAATAAAGATATGTGTCCAGCTGCTTTTCTGACATTTCATCAATACTGGGGCACATGCCTACCATAATCTTTTTTAATATAAATTCATCTAAATTGTTGTTCACAAGCTGCATGTGCAATTAAGTTTTTACTGCATTGTGCTTGACAAATAATAGCACATATTTGCTATTTTTGCTGTTTTGTTTCCTACAATGGGCTGTAGGCAAATACTCGCCTCATCTAGTGCTGTTTTTGTTTTCTGTCTTATAAAATATCTTATTACATCAACGGACGAATTATGTCGCCTGCTAGTTTAAGTGCTCAAACTTTTTAAAGTTGAGTAGATTCTGATTGGCTGTCAAAGTTTTTATTGTTTATCAGGTTTATAGCTTATAGTTGTATTGTTTATCAATTTATAGTTGTGGTGTGAACTTCCCTGTTCTCATAAAATGTTTAAAACTATCTTTATCATAATCATTATAGTTAAAGTCCTTTGTGTGAAAAGGTCTTAAGACTGACTATAACGTTTTTGCATAAAAACTATTGGTCTAATGAGTGATTAAGTAATTTAATTTGTAGAAGATCAATTGTTAATTTCTGCATAATTGTATATTTTATACTCCTATTCTTTTTTTCTAATATTATAATATTTTTAATTTTTCTCCTATTCTGATTTTTTTTTTTTTTTTTTAATTGTATTGTCCTTATAGTGAATGGACCTTATGACTGATTTTAACTTGTAATTAAGTTTCAGCATAAATTGGTCTAAGACTTGCTAGCTGGTCAGACAACATTTTCAGACACGATTTTAACATAATGCTGTGTTTATGCGAATGGCATGTGTTTTCACATATGTGCCTACATCTCCTCATCATTTCTGATTTGGGAACTACACCACAAATAACGTCTGGCCCAGATTTACAATTCAAATAAATGAGGACACAAATTTCCTGCAACACAACATGGAAAATAAATCTCCGGGAATGGATTTTTGGGTGGTTTTCTGCACAGCTACACCTTCCATTCAGCAGAACGTCTCAGTGCTGCTGACAACGTTCTCCTTAATTTATTACGCTCTCAGTTTGGTCCAGTGATTTCCAGTGAGCTTATTTGTCAAGCTTAGACCTATTTCTTCAGCTTTGAGTTCACAGATGCAAATTTAACTGTGGTATTGAAATCAGAAACAATGATTAGACCGTGCCCAGGTTATGTATGTCACATATGTGGACAGGGTAAACACATTACAACAACAAATCATTGTGTCTGTGTGGGATGTCAAATTTTAAATATGCAAAACAGAGGCTTTTGCTTAATTTAGGAGAAGTCACTCAACCAGGTGCATCTGAATGATTTTCCAACAGTATGCAAACAGCTTGCTACAGTTAACGCGAGCGCAACCGGTGTCCACGACTTAATTTTATTAAGGTTGAGAGCCTCTCTGACACATTTTTGTTTTCATGTTTTCATAACCGAAGAGAATTGTTTATAATTCTCCACGTCCTTTAGATAAAGACACGAGAGTAGGCAAACAAAGCTTCATTCGCACACTCTTGACAACCAAACAGAGTGCTGCCCACATAAAGTTTGACCGGGAGCCAATAAAACACGGTGGTTTGGCGAAATGAGATTAGACTGGCCATTTCATAGGCATCCTGGTACAAATTGAGCTGGTGGAAGTGATATTAAAGCCATCAGTCTCCTCTGTGTCTGAGACACATTTTGGCAAGAGACATTTGTAATCGTGAAGCCCCCACAGCTGACTGCATGAAGAAACTTTGCGACTGACTAATGATAGGAGAATTGGCGCTACAAATGTGTTCTTCCTAGTCGGATCATTTGTTGAATTCGAAATGCATCATTTTGGTTAAGTAATTAAATTTGTGGAAAATTAATTGTTAATTGCATCATAATTAAAAGAAAATGTGAAAATGTTCATTCATTCATTCATTTATAATCATTTATAATTTAATCATTTACTTATTCCAATTAATCATATAACCATTTATAATAATAATTTAACTATCCAAAAAATAATAATAAAAAAAAACCTCTTAAACTTGATTCTATCATGGCCAATGGTTCCACACACTTGAATCAAATTATTTGGAAATAATTGAATCAAATCATTCGCTTTTGTTACTTAGTATTTGAGTAGACTGGAATCACTGTTCATGATTTAATCAAGTTCAGCCAAACACTTATAATAACATACTGGCAAGCTAAATATAACTTTTTTTTACACATATGATGTTAGATGTTGGCAGTATGAAGATGCTGCTGATTATCTTTAGCACTACCAGTGGAGTTGATATTTTTATTAAGGCAACTTGAATTCTTGTGAGCAGGTCCACAACCCAAGCATATGCTAGACAGTTCATCACAATGGTAACTTACCCAAAAACACCAACATAACAGAAAATCTTTTACTATAATACCAACTTAATATTACATTAAACATTAACAAGTCTCGCTATTTATTTAACACTTTATTTTAACATTTACTCTCTCTGTCTAGCCCTGTGCAAAGCATGATGGGAAGTGTATAATTTTGAGCTACTTGATTGAAACATCTTCTTTCAAAATGAAAACATAAAGTTAAGCCAAAGAATAACTTTTCAAATCAGTTGCATGATGCAATCTTGTTTAAACAAGAAAACTGTTATTTGTTTGAATTGTTTAAATAAAGTGAACAGCATCAAATAAGCATTTTGAATGTGTTTATATAATCGTTTCACTGATTCATACATGGATCAGTTATTTTATATAATTTTTTCATTGTTGTTAAATCCTATGGCTGTGTGGTTTCAAGGGATATTTGTCTTCATGAGTAAGAGATTAGAGATGTCTTTCAAGGTTCCTTTCAAGTTTTTTTTTTACATCATAGGACAGTGTTGTGAAGCAGTAATTTTCCATTGCTTTTGCTTTAGTATTAAAACACTTGGTGGATTTGTGCTGGTCAGACAAAGTTTGACTGAGCAATGAAACAGACACAAATCAAGCGTAGCGTTAGTTCTGGCAGGTCACGTGGGTAAAGCTTGCATCTGCTGACTCTCAGCTGATCCACATCTACCTATAGCAATACAATGCCTGTCACATCTTTCCTAAGGTCTATCCAGTATTATTCAGCAGCTTTATTACTTGCTCAGGAGCAAATTACCCTCCTCCATCCCCAGCTCCTCCTTTCGTCACAGTCAGGACTTGGCTTTCTGATATTCCTTGTTTCCTGAAACAGACTCCTTTTATCTTGAATAATGTTGTTACACTAAAATGTCATTAAGAACATTAATGATAACAGTAATGATGCTACATTTTAGTTCTGTTCTGTTTACCTTAAGGGGGTTATTGCTGCTTTTTACCCAGCATTTACCCAGAACAGAACCATACCACCAATCCAAACTGTATGCTAAGTGTCAATTATTTTGACGATAGTGGTCCTGACAGAACTAATATTATTCTCTGCTCATTCAACCTTTGTTTCTGATTTCTGCTCTTCCCTGGTGTCCTCTATCTTCATTTTGGGCTGATAGAAGACTGTTGATACAAGACGAAATGTACTAAAACACTTATTTTGGGTACCAGACAAAATTCTGTTGATGGGTTTTGGGTACCAGCACAAAAGGGGATATTTTCCGGTGTTGTCTGGGGTTGGATCTAATATTCTTGACATGGAGACTCGATCTAATATTTTTGGCGTTATTGGCAGGATGTCAGCATATCTAACAGTGCTAAACGTGGCATCCCAGTGCACAGCGAACCACGGAGATGGAAATTTCCACTTGCATTAAAGCTGAAGTTGACCATGTCTGACTTTAGCTGGAAACCGTAGATGCTCAGCGAAGCATCAGACCGCATTACAATCTGAGCACAAACAGGCAAAACGCATGCAAACGCTGCGGTAACGAGAGAGCATGCGTCTGCCTGGAGCAGAGCCACGCTTGAGAATAAAACAATTCTCTGTGACACACTCTAGAAAACAGCACTGCTGTTGGTCTTGTTTGGTTTATGAGGCTAATAGATGTTCGAGAAAACACAGCCATAGATTCTTATCTGATCTAATGAACCAGTCACAGTCACATATTGCGTACGAATGGGTGAAAGACGTGTGATGGTATTAGAGTGAGTCATTTTGTTGGCGTCACTTGACTGGAATTAAGCTTTTGGAAATAGATAATAATACACCCACAGTTGTTTCTAACGTGTTTATTTATGTATTAATTTTTCAAATCCTCGTCCCATGCTTATTGGTCCATCTTTAGATTCAGGCGTTCATTTTAGTCACTATTACTCTGTTAAGGCTGACGTTGGAATGAATAGCGTTTTCCGTTTAATTTTTTTGACATTTTCATTTTCCTTTGTCACTGCGATGACAAAATAGCTAAAAACATCATCCGGCCAATAACAAATCATCTAAATGTTTTTTTATATTAATAGAAAATTGGCGGTAAGATGTCGAGTGATGAGTTTGAAATGAGAATTAAGAGCGAATACAGGCCTCGCACACAATCATGAGGATGAATGGAGGATTGTAGGTATTTGAGTGGAATTGGCAGGAGGATTCTCATTAATTCCGATCAATCTAGTAGGTCAACAGGATGCTGGTCATGTTTGCCTTCTCATCTTAATTTGTGCAAACAGGATCAGTAAACAAGTGGTCTGTTACAGTTGGGGAAGGAATATAATTGTAAACTGCAATCCCCTGTATGTATTGTGTTGGGACGAAAGATCTATTTTTAAGCCATTTGCATTTGCGTCGATCTGGAACAAGGTCTGCACGGTTTATTTGGCTTAATTAAGACCAGGGCTGTGGAGACATAAAGAAGCCAGGCTTGTGCGGATTTCAGCGTAGAACTCTTTCGAGGTTTGCTTAAGTACGCTCTGCTGTTCTTCAA